CATGCACAATGCAATCAATCAAGTGAGACTATATACCGTCAAAAGATTGTGTTCTAAACTGGCCCGTTTTACAGCGAATAAACTTTTTATAGAGACTGTCGCGCGACAACAACCTTAAATGTATTTATGAAAAATTTGTAACGCAATTGACGTATTGTCATGATCAATATGTAATAATATTTACAAAAATGGAATCGCTTTATTGTGTTCAGGGCATGGAACTCAGGATGAAACACTTATTCTATAATTATTTTCCAAAAGAGAATAAGAGTTCTTGATCTCTAAAAATGCGAAAACATATAATTGATTGAATCTTTCATTATTTCTTATTAATCTTCCGATTTTCAGTGCCTACAAGACAGACTACACGAGGTGAAAAAGAGTACTGAAACCCTCTCAGACTGCCTAGACAAAGTGCGAGAGGAAAACGACGAGCTTCGCTACCAGGTACTCCCCCAGAATTACTTCTTCATTAAAATATTTAACAACGCCCTCGAGAAATTTTTAACCGTTCACTCCCTTAGAAACCGAAATAATTATTTAAGAATCCGCGTGAAGTTTCAGTTCTTAATCCGAAGCTTCGACTGCGGCTATAAATATTCAAATATTCCCATTTGAAAAATATTGAAATTTCCACAAATTTTTTTTCGAGTTAGTAAAATCACCATACACAACCCATAGCATAAAACACAACACAAAAAAAAGCAAGGGCATGGCCTTTTATGCCTTTTTAATGTCCCGATTATTTCATGTTCTGTTGCCCTACTGCAACTTTTGAATAAATTTTCAAGGTGCTTAGGCAATTTTTACGAAAAGTCAAGTTCATGTTCTTTTCATGTTCTTTTTACGTTACGTCGTTAGTGAATGGTTTTAAAAACCTGAAGCCTACACGGTAGACTCAATATGTTGGGGGTTGAGACTCATCTGAGGGGTGAATGCTCGAGAATTCGTCGAGGAAGTTGTTACGGAGTCTCCATGAGCCTGAAATAATGTTCACTAACTATTTTAATGTTTCCAGCTAGAGGAGAGAAACATCGAATTGGAAGGAACTCGTGCCCGGGTGCGAGTTCTTGAAAAACAGCAACAGCGTCCCTCGACTGAACCACTCCACGAGGCTGAATTCTCGGAAACAGAACCCAGATGTGAACAAAGCTGCTTAGAGCCAGGAAGCAGTACGGAATCAGCACGAGATCATCATCAGACACTCGAAGTGAAACCCTCCCCCAGACGACGTCCACCAAGCAGAATTCCCTTACCTGGATCCAAACCAACAGCACCAAAACCTCCCACCAAAAGTGACAGTCGTGAATCCCTCAAGACATCCCTAAAATCCCTAACAAAACCTCCAAGAGACTCTAGTCGTGAGAGCACCAATGACAGACCAAAATCATCGCTGACTAAAACTCGAGACTCGAGTCGTGAATCACTGAATAAGAGTCTCCCAAAGACTGGAAAGGACACGAGTAGAGAATCCCTCAACAAATCATTGCCCAGGAATAATTCAAATCGTGATTCACTCAACAAATCATCACTCTCACGTGCCAGAGACTCACTAGAAACGAATAATCATCATTATCAAGGGGTTAATAATAATTATCAGGGGAATAATCATCAGGGAATGATAATGAAAAGTGGTACTTTACCGAGAAGACCAGTTGCACCAGCAAGACGATCTCACAGTTTAGCAAGGGCCTCTGTTGACACTGACACTACCGGAAAGGTACGACCACCCAAACTCCTCTTTTGGACTGGCTGGATGAAGTAAAACATCACTCGACCATTCATCATTGTATTCAGACAAATTCGAGTACATGTATTTATGATTCGATGGTTGAATATGTGATGAGGGCAGGTTCTCACGCTCAACGCCATTCTCCTGTGTTCAATTCTACTTTAACATGGGATTAACATCTTCTTCTAGGGGTTTGATTCTAGATGAGGTGGCATATCTACTTGTTGACTTCATCTGATTAATTTCATTAATGGGGAAAACCAGGGGACTTGGAGGATTGTGCAGCTAATTTTATTGACCCCCCAGCAGAGCAATCTTCATGATGCTCAGTGGTAGATTTTATTTATTCGGTTTCTGTGGGGGCATTAACGTCTGGAGAAGTCAGGTGTTGACGTGGAGGGAAGACATGAGTTCTATTTTCTTATCAGATTAATGATAAATATCTTTGGGGAATATCCTGAGCAGTGATGGGCACTCTTAAGTCCATTTCAAGTTTAAGGCCCAATAAAATTATTAATTCTCTGTTTATTTTTTGCTGGAGGTAAATCGGAAGTCTTAAAAGAATTTGTGACAATTAAATTTCGAAATAATGGGTCTTAAGTTTTATTAGACTTATTGCTTGAAAAATCTAAACTCCAAAATCCAGAAGTATTTAGTATTTGTATTTTTTTCAAGTACTAAGGACTGTTAAATCTCAAGGACTTAGGATACACAATTTTTCAAATACTGAGTCTAATAGTACTTTGTACTTAGGAGTAGGATAGTTCAGAAATATTTTGGCAATCTTCGATCCTCGGATACCTAGTGCATAATTCTATTGAGCCCAAAGATGTTTATCAAGTACTGAACAAAAAAAAATTCATTTCTTCCCGCTACTTCACATCTCTCAACTTTTCTTTCCGAATAATTCTCGAAGAAATTTTCACCAAAAAAAAAAAAAATAAGAAAAATAATAAATCTATTTAATTTATTCACATCTGAGTGAAATTGATAGAGAATTAATTCTGAAATGAATGGTAATCCAAATCTTCATGGGTGAATCTTGCCTGGCTCCTTCAATTTAACATAGTTATTCATTTCACATTAAAAAATTAATTCCTCCTTCAACTGTGACTCTGATAACGGAATAAAATCCCATTGAATCGTCGATTAGATTAAATTTTGAGACATTGAGATAATTTAGTATTTAACAAATTAAAAATACCGACTGACCACTCAACCACTAGTGAAATGTCTGAAACTGGAGCGCAGGCGAGCGTGCGTTCGACTCCAACCCCGGCTGTTCAATACGCAAATGGCCCCTTCTCGCGTCCGTCAGTCTATCGTAAGTTATGCTTCTTTTATTATCATTTGCTTTTGACGCTTTTTTTTTAGTTTATTATTTTGGAATGCGGTGATGCTTCGCCTACGGTACAATTTTCCCAGTAGTCATCTCCAATTATCCTGTAGTGAGGTAGTATATTCTCTTGGTGATTTTTTCATATCCTATTTCCTTCATTCTAAAGCTGTGACCTTGTGAATAGATGAATCAGCTTGACGTCACGTCAAGTTTCCGGTTGACAATTATAAATTTCATGTTTTATAGAAAATATCGTATGCTTTCCGCCAAAAGACCGTCGCATTGTTTTCTTCTAGAAATGGAATAATGCATTTCGAAATTTCAGATTATTCTTGATCATTTAAACATTGATTTTTAAAACTCATTTTTTTATTTTAATATAGATTCCCTATTAATTTTTAAACTGAAAAATCATTTATGCATTTTCATCCTCAAAGATGAATCTTTCATTTACAACGAATTTTATACTCATGTCAGTTAATCATGTTATTTTGAGACTTCTTTTGTTTATTAGGATAAATCAAATTGATTAGCTCTCCTAATCTAACGAATTAATCGATGGAAATGAAAAATTAGTGAAAAAAATGGAAAATTAAATAGAAAAAAGTTTGGAATAGTTGTATTAATAAGTTAAAATCGTTCGGATTAAAAAAAAGCCTCGCTAAATTATGATCAGATGATTTGGAATCATCTGAAGTATCGAAATTCCTATTGCCAGAAACAAAAGTCGAAACGATTTTTTGGTGTTAATTTTTTGAAAAATTTCAATTTTCTGCACATCTTTTTTTTAATGAAACTAACTAAAAAAAATATTACATAAAATAATATTCGGATAATTGAGAATCATTTGAATTATTGAAATTCACTATTTTTCACATACAAATTTTCCGTCGAATTAAAAAAAATTTCTTTTTGAAATTTTTTTTTTAATTCAATAGTCCGGAAAATATGGGGTAAAATGGAACTTCTTCAAACTTCTGACTTTTGGGATCAAAAATTTAGAATAAACTAAAAGTTTTGTTCTACTCCAAATCTGTGATAGAGTAAATTACAATAAGTGATTTTTTTTTTCGTCTAGTTTCTAGAGAATATTTCGAAGCTATTATATATTATACGATTTTCGATGAAAATAAACGACAGCATGATTTATTTTTCCATCAAACGTCTAAAAACTCAGAGAGAACCTCTGAATTTTCACTTTTTTATAGCAACTTTAGAGTTTCAGGAATATTGTTATCGAAATATAAAATTTTAGAAAAAATATCTTAAGATTGTAAGACATTCGGGTAATGAATCTTAAAGTAGAATCGATAGTCTTGTTTTACCCTTTTTGATATGCATCATTGAGAATGTCCAATGAATTGTGAAACGACAATTTTTTTACTCAGAAAAAAGCCAATGAAACGTTATACGACAGAAAATGAATGAATTCCATGGATTATAGGATTTCTATAATTTTTTCTCCCAGAGAAACTATCCTGGGTTTTTATAATTAATTCTTTTCTTTAGAGTTGTCATCAGAAAATTTTGAATTATTTAGCAAATTCTGAACATTAGGTGTCAAGAAAATAATCAAATATATTATATTATAGTTAATATAATCTCGTGCACAATAATCCTCCGACTTTCTTCTCTAAATTGATCACTCATAGACTCATCCCTTTTGTTATTGATTGACTGCGCCACACCTGCATGATTTTCTTTAGAATTTAACACACCTCTTTCTCTATATCATTTTTACCACAAGCACGAAATTGTTGGACACATCTGTAACTTTATTCTTCTAAAAAAATGTTATATCTCTGCTTATGGTTTCTATTTCTTCGCTGATTATTTCCGCTGAATTATGGTTTTGTTTGCTGCATTTATGCCCAAGAATGCCTGACAATACGGACGTAGATAAGTGAAATAATAAAAAATATTTTTCTTTCTGCACTTGAGAACGAGGAGAATTGAGCAATGTATAACTCTCTTAATCGACCACACGCTTACCTGCTTGGCCTGCGGGTCGTCGACCATCATTACAATTATTAGGGATTGTCTATACCTCAGAAATTTTGTGGTAGAGTCTACTGATTTCATCATCTATCCACTTCAACTTATTCTTCAACTAAACAAGGAAATAATAAAATGGTGAAAGTGATGCGAGACAAAAAATTTCCAATGAATTATGTCACAGATATCTTTAAAACAAAAGGATTCGTGAGATCTCATTAGAAAACAATCTCTTAACTCTTTGAATTGTCGACAAAAACGAAAATTCAGGAAATCTCTTCTGATGAATTTCTCGAAACAGTGATGGGCACTCGCAAGTCTATTTAAGATTTGAAATTCAATAAAAATATATGTAGAAAATTAAATATCAATTTTAAATAAAGGATTAATTCTCTGTTAACTTTTTACTTCTTTGGAAATAGATCGGGAATTTTAGAAGGTGGGACTTGACTTGTTTCAGATCTTAATTCTAGCCGGACTTAGGACTTGAGAAATTTCCAAGTTTGTAGTCCTTGGGATATGGAAAATCGCATTAAGTCTTTAAGTCTTCATGAGAGATAGATTTAGAATTCTGAAATTAATTTTGAATCAAATTTTCTCTATAATTCTTCAATCTCATTCACTTGGATTCATTTTTTTTAGACTTAAGATTCAAAAATTTTAAGTCCCAACTTCTAGATGGATTTAGTACTTGGAAATTTTGCAAGTACCAAGTCCAATAGTCTTTTCTAATTAGAAGTAGAATAAATAAATAAATAAATATAAATAATTAATAAATTTCCTTGAAACTTAAGGACTTGAGCCTTTAACACATGAAATTTGCTCATCACTGTCTCAGAATTTCTTCAGACTTTTTAACTTCACTCCATTAATTTCAATTCACATAAACTCGTGACTTCGCTGATTTATGAAAATCCATAAAAAAATGTTCTAAAAAAATATTCCAAAAAAATGAATCGTTATTTTCCAAATCGTCAATTAAATTTCCAAGATATTTACAAAAGGATAATAAATCAATCGAACTTCCAAAATGACTCTTCACAAAAGAATTCTGCAAGTAAAGACATACAAAAATGTGTGGCAAAACCATAAAGCCGTGAGCGTTTCACATTGCGCAAAAAAAAACACATAAATCAAGTAATTAAAAAAATAAAAGAGAATGATTACAATCATGAATCACTGGAATGTCTGACGATTTATCATCGAAGATTAACAGAGTGCAATAATTTTTCCAGGCCCTCACCGATCCCCCGACCTCCTGGTGTTCATCAACTAGTTTTCGTCACAGTGAGTCATCCCTATATCCAGACTCATTGAATCAAGATACATCAATCAACGACTCAACGAGAATCGAATTCATCATTGGCTCACCAACGAGAAGATTTCGTCCTCCATCCTGGCAAAATTCCTACTTTGATAGTATTGATTCATCAGCAATGGCAGCTGAGAGTCTTTCCACCGGTGAATTTCCACTGAGAGGTGGTGAAGCACTTGCCGAGTGCGATTCACTCGAGTGCCATCCCATTTCCAGCGAAGAATAAAACATTAAACAATGAAATTCCAACAAATTAAATTATCTCGCAATTAGTACTCGACCTTAAACATCATTTAATTTGCTTCAACAAATTTGAGAACTTCCGAAGACAGTCTTGAATTTACCATCAATCATTTTTATTGATTATATTGTTTAACAAAATTACAATAATGTTAACAATTTGACACGTGGGAGGGCTCAAAATTATCATCGATGTTATTCAATTGAATTTTGCACTTCTATGATAAATCGAAATAGAAAAGAACGAAACTGAAATGTTGACATTTCTTCTCTCATCATCTCCCTCACAATCGAATAATAAAGACTCAATCAAGAATCAGTTTGCCTCGCAAACTTTGAATTCCTTGATCACGAACTGGCCTAGAAATAAAGTCCAATTCACTCAGTCTGAATCCACGTGCATTTTGTAATTTAGTCCATAAACATCACGTAAAATCTGTTTCTATTTCAATCAGGCTGTGTCTGTCTGTGCTTAGTTAAATATTTTGTAATTAGATTAAATTATGAATAATGATGTAGGTGGCACTTGTAATACCTTGTAAATATTATTTTGATTTTCATCTAAATGTGCATAGCAACCGGTGGAGAGTATCAGGAATCATTGATTCATTCCATTGATGCACATGTTTTGTCAGGAGATAATGCAATTTATTGCATTCCAATGAGCATTTGTGATTTATTATCTCATTATTATTTATTATCAATTCTTTAGTCTGTATGGATTGTTCGGTTTGTGACACTCATGTGCAATTTTTTGTTACATTGTATGAACTGCGAATCTATTTCCGAGATTAATTGGTGAAGTCTGAATATTTGGGAGTGTCTTGTACATATCAGAGAAAGTATACAATGTCAGGATGAAGTTAGAAATAACTGGGTTTGAACCGAATCATTATTTAATGTATTCTTCTTCATCTGTGAAGAAGATAGATATTATTTTTACGCGTAGGATCATTCCAGAGTCAAGGTCGAATGTTAAAAAGTTATTTACTCCAGTTAATCAGAAAAATCATGTGAATTATCTCCGATGATGAGTGAGTTCCACTGGAAGTTCTTTTTTAATATCTCGAAATTCGTTTGAGATAGGAAACTTTTTGTGGCAACATTTTTTGTATTTTTCTTTTTGCGAATCAAAATGTCGAAGAAGTTTTTTTTTTATCAACTGAGGAATGAAGACATGAGGGAAAAACTGAGAATGTAAAATTGAATAATTTCAGAATTTATGGAATATCACAGAGGATTCGCCTGTGATCTAGTTTATAATCAATGATGACTGTGCATACAGTTTGATTAAATCTCATGACGACTCTCAAAGACAAGTGAAATTTAGTTGATCCAAATGAAATTAAAACAGGATAATTATTAATTATAAAAACAGAGATTATGAAAATTGACTGGAGACTCGTCTGACATTTCTTCAAGCATCGGTACGTGTAAACATGGTCACTAACTTGTGATTAACATAGATAAGCTAATAGGACTGACAGGACATTACTTATTACGTTAGTGCCTGATGTATGTTTTTGTGAAGAAACATTTTTGCAATAAGTGGAGATGAAATGGCGTGGAATGAAATTGACAGAATGCCATGAAAATCCGGTGATTACACGAAGAATTAATAAATTCATGAGACAAGGAGCGTAACTTCTGGTCAATATGTCATTCTCCTCTATTTTTATTTCACTCGATTTTGTTGTGCTAGAGTGACTCGTACCGATGACTCTGGTATTTGCAAACTAAATTCTGGATTGAAGTGGAAAAAATGAGATGAGAGCCAAAATTTTGTTGATCACTTTGAAAATATCTCGAGCGCTAAATATTCAGAAGAAAAAAATTCATTTAAATCCACTAGATCTCCAGATATTCTCAAAATAATGTCAATAGAAATAATCCGTATTCATCTCGGGTTGTGCACCACTTCACACCTAAATCCATAAATGTATCAAAATTTTTTTGATTTCGTTTTACTCATGTGATGAATGAAATGAACGGAGATGTGGAAAATATGCTCAGATATTGTAATTACGACGCCTGTCACTGGAGACTATTATTTTTATACGAATATAATTGCAGTGAAATGAAATAAGAAATTATTCAACCCGTTTTACACGATTTTTTGTTGAACTAAAAACGTCCGAAATTTGTTTATTTAATATCGTAGAATTTTGAGGACTACACTCCAGTTGTGTGTGATTAAGTAAATGCTGAGAGAAAAATGTTAAAATAGTACCATTACTAAGGCGGCCCTTATCATTGTAAAATGACAGCTACCGATTTCACTAGTACAAATCATGCCTGTAAATACAGAAATTTTCTCATTAAAAAATCATTGAAATTTCACTAGTTCCACAATTTTTTTCAGAACTAGTGCATGTCTCTTCAATTTGGGATCGTAATTCTGTACTGATAGTGGAAAATGACAAGTAATTTTTCTAACTGTATCAATTCCATGATTATTAAATGAAAAATGATTTCTATAATCGTTATAAAATTCATGAGTGAAATAAATGAACAAATAATTGAACAAAGAACAGAGAGGATAGGAGAGGCTTGAAGTTATAAGATGACGGGCGCCTATAAATTCGTAATGGTAGTAAGAAAGAAGATATATCTAAAAAAAAATCTTGAATAAATGAATACATATATTTCACTCATTCGTCGTGTCAATAATGACAGCAGGGGGGAATTGAGGTATTTCTGGAGTAACTGTGGGACCTGTCCAAGGCTAAATTGCGATGTCTTTGATATTTACCTATCGCCATTACTACCAGAGAATTCAATTTTATAAATATTGCGGGGAACCCAAGTGATCGATATACCACACAGTTAAACTAAGGTCTTTTGATATTTTACTCTAGAATCACTTATTGATGAGATAAATAATTAGTTGACATATTTGACTCTAACAAGAATCATTTAAGAGTTAAATGTCACTTTTTACTTTTTGGGTGGGAAATCTCCTCAGTTTTATTGAGAAATTATTGAGAATTTTAATGAGATGATTGCACATAATCATTTTTCAGAAGTCAAACGGCGCATGAATCCTTCATTCCGGAAATCTATGTCAGAATGTAACGGAAAATTCCCACAAATATTGAGATTCATGATAATATATCCTCACTCTCCAAAATAATTATTTCACATGTAAAATCGGTAAAATTCGCGATTCTCGAGATAGTAATCAAAAAAGAATCTTCAAAATCAGATGTAATTACTATGGATTTATTTCCTAAAATCCTTTTTTATAGACAAGATTTCCTATAAAAATAATGTTCGGATATTTTGTCGTAAAATAATTGATTCTTGCGACAAATACGATAACATGATTTTTCATCGATAACGAAAATATTGACAAAATGAGAAAAATGACTTGTCTTTTTCCACCCCCACAGTACATAATTAATTAATCTGCATGAGTGAATGCTTGAAAATTCCGTGGTCGGTGTTAAGGGGCACCTTATCCATTACATGTCATTGAAATCGTAAGATAATTAGGTGGTACTTGTAAATAATAAACGAATGAATGGTCAGAGTTTTATTTATAAAACTACAACTATCACTGTACATAAATGATGAAGATACAAAGGCGTACATATAAAGTACGATAACGTGATAAGTATATTAATAAAACTGAATAAAAATGAAATTACGTAAATGAAGTGAAAAAAACTGCGTTTTGACATTTATGCCCGTAATTTGTTTTCTCATGACAATTGTTAGGATTTTATTATGTGGTATTATACTGGCTGCGGTTTGAACTGTCTCAGGGTCTTCCCCAGGAGTGTCCATATACTGCACATCAAGGACCCATTTTATCCAGACAAGAACAATAAAAATAAGTAACTGTGTAGGCTGTCGAGTAAATGACGATGACGAGGGATACATCAGCTGATCTATTTATCATTCTTTACTGCTCGAAACATATAATCATGCATTGATGAGGTTTCCTCGTTGTTCGTATATCACGTCCTCTTTGCGGTCACACGAACGCCTGTAATGATTGATCGGCTAATTAAAATTGAGTTTTAATTACAGATTTGTAGTTTATTGGAATTTCTTTTATGACTCTAGATCTCGTGGTCTTTCTTAGGTGAATTTATGGATGCCTGAGCTTATTATTAGCGATTCAATAACGATTTATTTTAGGAAGTGATCGGCAATATGAAAATTTTTGGATGGAGATTCTCCTTTAGAAAAATCCGTCTTGGTGACTCTGTTTTTTTTTGCGGCTGTTTACGCTAATTCCGTTTTTCCTGTTTGATAAATCTCATATATTTTATACTAACTCGAAAGCCTATTAGATAAGCTTGAAGTTCACGCCTGATTCATCTAATTTCTGTCATTTTTCTCTCTCATTGATCTCCGAGAGTTTTAAACGAAAAAATTTTATGATTTACTCGAAAAATTACCTTTATTTGGAGTTGTTTCTACTTTGGCCTGGATAGGTATATTTATTCATTAATTTAAATATTATTTAATTCGATTTTTGATAAAGTTATTGGAAACACGCGAAAATTCGACTTTTTTATTAATTTTTGGATCTTTAGACTCGATTAATATTGCTTTATTACACATCGATTTGAAGATCCTAAAAAAATCTTCAAAATCCCATCTCTTCTTTCCATTTCATTGAATTGATCAATTGCTGTAGATAATTACCTATATTTTTTCACATGCACAAATTTACTATTCCCCCTATTATTTTTACTTTTACACTATTATTAACATTATTTTTTATTTAGATTTGAGATGTTTTATATACTGGATTATCACTGAAAATCTTATATCGGGTGTGGAGCTAAATTAATACTCGCTGTTAATTATTTCCAAAGTCAAAATTTTTATACGTTTAACCCTAAGAATAGTTTATTATTTATTATCCTGTAGCCTTCATGTCTGCTAGAATTCTTCGATTCTGTTTATTGTTGGAGAATTGGCTAGATTGGCTAGCATAATAAAATGATGTTCATAACATCTATTTAGAATAGATTCCTTTCATGGAACGCTGAATCATTGATTGCGATATCGTAAATCATCGCTTATTCATAAAACATCACTTTCTCAATAAGACAGCTAATTCATCTATCGATCAAAAGAATGAATTAATATCGACATAAAAATATTCTAGAATTGTAAATCATCGATTATTATTTCATTACAATTTACTGAAGAAGATGAAAATTAGTAGATGTCCAGAAATTGATTATAGAATCAATTTCATACAGGCCAGCTAGGGTACGTCTCGTTTAGTTAATTAACATGTTTTCAAGCTGTTATATAACCACGTCAGGAATTTCCTTCCAACTGCAATTAACGAGTCTACTAGAGGAAATAAACCACATTGGAGATATTGATAGGATAGCTTCTTCAGGATTTTAACTGCCAGGCAAAACTGGAAACCGAAAGGTTTCCATTTTTTCTACATAGGAGACGGGAAGTTTTTATAGCGTTCCACATTTTTTTGACGTTCAAGGAATCGTTGGATAGGATTTGGATTAGGTAGGGAGGGGAACAGGATAATTCTCGATATTATTTTTATAAGAAAAATTACTGAAAAAATGGATAGTCCAGACCGGGATTTGAACCCGGGACCTTCCGATTACGCATCGGGTGATGTTCTTTGTCTTGGAAGTCGAAAAACAGTTCTATATCTGTCAAAGAAATGTCATATGAAAAATTTAAATATTCATCTACGAATTTATCAAGATTTCAGATATCAACTGAATTATCTTTTTCTCAATGATAATAATTATGATAATAATTATGATAATAATCAATAAAAAAATGTCAGTAAAAAAGAATAAAAATCTCTCAACAATTAAATAGAAAAATTATTCAATGACAGTTGCTGGAGAGTTGCAATAACGTGACAAAAATTCAGGGAATTCGTCCTTGCAAGGAAGACGTATCTGTCAATATTTACTTTCTCAATTCCCATGAAAAAAAAAAAAAAAAAAACAAAAAGAAAAAAAAAAAGGAAATCCTTCCCCCAATTTTTTTACCTTACAGCGAATAATGCGATCATCAGGGATTATAATTGACTTCCGGGACTTCTTCGGTCATTAGCACAATTTTATCGCACTTGTTTTATCGTTATTTTTCTCTTAACGAGAATCGAAATGAACGAGAAACTTTCTGTTATGGCCGTGGGCACTTATACGTGTCATATCGATCAAGGCGCCTCGGTAAGTTTGAGGTCAAGTACGATTTCGTAATTTTATTTCATTCCAGCATACAACACATTATGCTACGTGTTTGGAATAAAATCTCAAATCGCAAGCTATTTTCCGCAATATCACCGTCATAAAGATAATTTACCATACGGAAATATAGTTTTTACGAGTTTGATCAGAACTCTTGATAGTGAATTATTCATGGGATAGAGGCAGGAATCCGCGATCGCTGGACGAGTTTGAATATTTAAGATATATTGTCTCGGGAATTTTTCTGTACGTCACTGCTTTAGAGAGACACGGTAAAATATTGTCTTCACAAGAAGCTGATGTTTTCCCTAGAATTTTTTCGTTCAAGTTCACAAAATTCTGGATTTTATACATAAAGCCAGAACAAGGACGTAGAATTATAATTTTAGTTTTTTCTTCTTTTTCATTTTTAATGGAGGCCTTCCATTTGCGGGCTCTTTCCATTCTATTTTTTTTTTTCAAATATTAAATGTTCTACAGGGAGAAAAAAAATTTATAAAAATTATCAATTTTATTAATAATGCTAATGAAATTTTTTTCTCCATGTAAAATGTTAATGAACGGATTCCATGGATGAAACCATGGATTCATGTCTCTATTTAGGGCGGGATAATTCAATTGGAAATTTTATCCCATTGCAGTTTATGATTGAACTTTATTATGACACAGGTTCAGCCCAATCGGTCCAGTAGTTCCTGAAACACAGTAACTTCTTTAAATCCCGTTTTTTCTCAATTCCTCAAAATTTCTATTTAAAAATATTTGCTTCAATGGTCTGTATCTGGATCAATCAAAACTTATACACCCATTCGGGGAAAACTTGAAGATATTACCATTTTCCGTTTTTAGCGATAAATTTCAGGTGACGGTAACTTGAGAAATATTGGAGAGACAAGGTTGGTATTGCAGACGGACGCAATTTGTCTAGCGGTCCTAAGAATATTTGAATTTTTCAATAAATATATTTTTCAAAAATCTCAAACTACTGAACCCATTCCAATTTTTTTTTTTCGAAAAACTGTCTCAGTGGTCACTATGTATCAAAATATGTAGTGTCGCTTGTTCATACAAAAAAAAAACAGATAATTCCGCTTTTATCTTTTTTTTAGTTTTCTACGCGCCATAACTTGAAAAAAC